TCCAAAAAAATGTCTAATTTGGCTAAAACGTCATTTTTCCTCTATTTCTTCGAATTGAGGCAACGGTTTCACTCCTTTGCATATCGCGTATTCGTTTTAGACTATAGATATATATTCGAAAGATTTCTAATTCCGCTGACGTGTTACTTTTCACCATTTCTTGAAGAAATTGAGAAAACAATGAAAATCGACTTAGAGATAAGAAACGTAAATGTAGCTTTCGCTGTTATGAGATGCATTTTATGATTCTAATTTCAAACTGCAGGCATATATAATACATTCCCGGCGGTTCCATCTGTGAACTGTTTATATACGCGGTCTGTTAATGCAATATTGCGATTGCTATTTAATCCCAGCGAACGATCCTCCGTACACGGATTGCATCTTGTGGCTGACCTCGTTGGACGATGAGGCGAGACGCGCGGTGGCGGTTCAAAGTCCTGGTCGAGTTCGGACGTTCGTACTCACCGCAAACATTCCGCAGGGCCGAGGTAACAGATGTTCTACATCGTAGTGCCGTTCGTCGGCGTCAGATTTACCGGTTATAGGATATCCCTGCAGATGTGTGCGGCGGAAGCCGCCATACCGATCTGATTCCGCGTGACGTCACAACGACGAACCGTTCGTGGTTTGCACAAGGTCGAGACACGGACACTGTCGGACATCGGGATCCTCGGCCGAGGATTATCAACCGTCTAATGCTGCGGCTGCGATCGTCCGCAAACGAGCTGCTTGAATATCGTTGACTACACCGCTGCCATTGTAAATCCTGTCGACGGCCGCTAGCCGCTTCCCTACGTGAAATTGGCAAAATATTGTAACGATGCCAGTCATGTGTTAATATTAGCCCTCGTACGTTTGCGCACTTAAAGCGGCTCCGTTACATTTGCATGTATTTCAGGTAGTTATTTTAAGCGAAACACAACAGATCGCTTGGCGAAGCGAGAGAACAAATGGAATTAACTCCGCCGCCGATTGAAATATCATCTACGATAGAGAGGAGAGTTATGCACACGATTTCGAGTTTTTGGTGGTTTGTACGATAATCTAGGGATGAATAAATCATGAGTATTTTAATAGCGTAAGCGCATATCGTCGGCGAATAATTTACTGATAATTCGCGTGCATATTGCCACGAAACGATATGAGCCGCGTTTAAATCGCCAATTACCGATTATCATTGCCCATCATCCAAGTACCAACTATAATCCATAGAAATAAATTTCGGTTCTCATCTCCTGTCGAGAGATTTATCTGAATTTTCAGTATTTATATTTGAGAAAATCCGTACAGTACGATCGTCATGAATTAGATTTCGTCATCGTGATCGAACGAGAATCTCGTTATTTCCTCGCGCAGTTTCATGTTCTCTCCTAGAAATCCAAACGTGAAACGAGATCGGGTAACTTCTGCAGACGATCTGGGCGGCCCGGGCCATCTGGTGCGCTTCTGGCGGGTTATTATCGCGGTGCGATCAACCCTATCCGCGCGTACGTGCGCACGTTTCCACCCAGCCCTCGTGGGCCCATCCCCTTATCGGGCGCAATAATGGAAACTACGTCGTCGATTCTATTTTCTCTCCCTCGGGAACCGCGGGGGCGACCCGCGCCCGCCCGCCCTCCGGTACCAGCATACGCGACTCCGGCGGGCCGACACGGCGTTGGGTACAATAATGGTTATTTATTAGCGCTAAATCAAATGCGTTAGCGTGTGGCTGCACGAACGCAAAGCCAATATATATGATAATGATGATAATAATTCCGGAAGTGGCCGCTTTGCGCGCGATCGACGATTCTCCAAATCCCACCACCGCAAAGGCTCTCTCGAAAGGAGGAAAAAAATATCCGCCGTCGGAAAGAGTCAATCAATGTTCTGTCGGTTTGAGGTTAAAAATCAATGTAGGAAGATATAGAAAATAAAATGTGATCTCCCCCCGAGGGGAGATAGGAATGATAGTTATTCTTTGTTGATATCACATGATATCACGAAATGTTCTCTATCCCTCTGAGATGGAATTATCCGTACGCGGATTTAATATTTAGGGGATAGAAATGATTTCAAAGCCAAACGGAGCGCGCGTCAGCATCGAACAATAATTGATGATGGTCTGCAATAACGGGAGATTTACTCCATTACCGTTAATTATACGACGGTTACCACGTCATTCTATCCCCTACCGCTATCGAACCAAAGTCTAGCAGTTTCGATATTGACGTAAAGTGCACCGGTATACCGTTAATATCATCGTGAGTTCTGAGTTTCGGCGAAGCTGTAATTGTAGCGAAACCGCGAAAGCAAAGGCATTCCTTCGGCGAACCAAACCACTTCCGGTCCGCGCGCGGACAAAAGGCAATCTCCGCGCTGCTCCCGTCCGATAGTCATTGCGCGCTGTTGTTGGAAACATCCAACTCGTCCGTTCCTGCAATATAATCCAGCGCGCGGATGGTCGTCGGTTTAACGTCCGCATGCGTTTCGTATGCAAAATACGTAAAGTGCACGAGGTACTCGACGCGACGCGACGCGCAAATCGGACGAAAGAGACGAGAGGAGGGGAGGCACCTTTTGCTCCTTCTAGTGGGGTCCCCCCCCCCCCTATGGTCATGTAAAGGGCGACAACCTGTCCGATGCAGATTGCGCCCGCAACATTCGTCACCGCCCCCTCCCCCCCTCATCCGCTCTCGCGAAGCCGTCCTGGTCTTGGATGGCGACGTGTAAACACGGTGATGTAATAGCAAGCAGCGTGTGGTCCTGGTCGGGTTAGTATTGTGTGTGCATACTGATGTTTCATTAGCCCACTGTTCATGCCGCTCTCGTACTGTCAATCAAGTGCTCCACCCTGCGGCTGCTCCTCAGTTCGAGCGAAGCCGCTGGCGAACTCCCAACGTCGCCGTTAGGATCGCTTTATAAGGGGATTACAATTATCCGATGTTTGATTAACCCCTACCCAGGGCATTGCAATCTGCTTAGGGCGCGTTACACAGCAATCCGAGCGATCGCGAGCGTCGTCGCCGGTTGTGGCGCGATCCGCGGTATAATTCGTTGGGATGCAATTTGCCACGGGCTCCACTGGCCTCCGAAATTGGAATCCGCCTAATCCGGCGGCAGCGCCGCCGCGATGGATTTTCAAGGTATGTCTAACGCAGCTGCCGCACGCGCGGGAGAAACTGATCCGGACCTCGTGCTCCGTCGACCGGTGGCAAATCGTGCCCACCGATGGGGTTGCTTTGCAAAGGGATTAAAATCACGCAGTGTTTGATTGCCCCATGGCAAGAGTTAGGACATACCATTAAGATCGATATACCGTCGATACACGAGAGCAGATCTCGGATGAACAGTTGAATTAAACGTTGATGTTAAACCAACTGTACATACAACTGCATAGTAACTGTCGAACGATTGCGATTGTCGCGAATGGACATGATTCTGTTCCGTTTGTAACAGCTAAGTCCTGTGCGCGCATTTTCGCAAATGTCAATAAAGTTAGTCTACGTTGGCATAAACCGGCACCGACTGATTGCTCTATCGCTATATTTATATTTCACGACACTTTGAAATTTAAATAAAGCTCTTTGAATCGTAGCTCTTTGAAATGTTCCGCGGAGTGGGTTTGCTGCAGTAATAATCGGCTATTGGAATCGTTTTATAAAGGGATTACAATTACTCGATGTTTGATCACCCCTTCGAGCTTGCAATCTGCTTGAAGTTGCATTACATATTCAAGTGATATACGCAACAGAAACTCGTGCGATAGTACAATAACATAATAACCCCATTATTGCGGCATTGATCGTACTTTACAATTATCCGCGGTACATGTCCTCGCGTGCAGAGACAATAAATTTTACATTTTTAATCAATGAAACGTTTTTAATAAATAAGACATGAAACATTTGTGCGTTGATTATGCCTTCATGTTAAAATTAACATCGAATGGTAATTATTTCGTAAAGCATTCACTTAATATTGGTTTATTTGCAACTTTGTAATAAAAAGTATTATTAGACACGCATAGTTTATTATCATGTTATTCTGCTCGGGTATAATATTTCTACCGCTTAAGCGGACAGTAGAATTTGCTATACCGACAACAGGGGCTTTCTATGTACGACTTTAAATTTGCGGAATGAAATATAAAATGTAGAGTTGTTCCAGTTGCGTTAAAAAAAAAAGCGATGAAACACGGCTTATATTGTAGCACGTGTAGTTGTGTACACTGCAATAAGAACGCTTGAAATAGTTTGTATTGTATGTACCGCGTTTAAAAAATAACGTTATTTGTTGCATGTTTTTACGAATGTGCATGTTGTAAAATTTGTTTGATTGGAATATAAATATCGCTTTCTGGGCTTCGCGGGAGCATTAATGTTCGATCGCTTTCTGGGATTCGGGAGCGTTAATGTTTGATCGCTTTCTGGGACTCGGGGGGCGTTAATGTTTGATCGCAGTTGCAAAAATGACTAATTTATTATAAAATTTAATATAAATGAGCGCATCGTGGAATAAGACAGATAGCAGCAACAATATTTGTTTTTGATCTAGCTGGATAGTGATTGTTGGAACATCATCAGCTCTCGATTGCTTTTGTTGAACTTCGCAATTGAGTTCTTCGCCTGCGGCTCCCCTGCGGATCGGTGGTTCTATCGCACTCGAAAGATCGTTATCGCTTTGTTCACTCCGCTTTACATAAGAGAATTAACATTATCCGCCGATTGATTTTGCGTTTACAACATGACTCGCTTCAATTACGTGCACTCACGTGTTTACGCTGACCAAACCTGGAGGGCCAAACCCCTCAAAAAGAATTAAAAATAAATTAATTTTGATTACAATATTACGTTGACTTATCTTTTATTCTGTTGATTGACGTCTATTCTATTTTGTTTTATTTTATTACTTAATGGTTGACAAATTCTTTCGAGCGTTACGAATCAATTACCTTTTACATTTATTCAGCGTTCAATAAAACCGGATTAAAGTTGTTTTCGATAACATAAAATCGCTTTGTAAAGGGATGACAATTATTAATATTTGATTATATTGTCGCATGATACAAGTTAGTTTAGATGTTTAAATTATGCGAACTATCATGACAGCAAAACATGCATTCAAAACATTTTGTTTGAACATTTGCAATTATATCATGATACGCTTCGTATATTGTATCAAATAAAGTGTCAATTTTCCCATCCGCGTTTATTCGCAAAGTGATATGGAAATGAGATGAATTATTATCATAATTATATGTTACATTTTATATATTGCGATGCATCTTCATTAAAGAAAATTGATTACATTCTTAATTCGCAGCATCATTATCGTCATCGTCCCATCCATTAGCTTGTTTCAATCTCTATCTAGAATTGTATGAGAGTTAATAGAAACGGTATTAACTTTTATACCCTAATATTTTTGGTGTGTGAATACGTTTGCGGAGAAAATATATCTCGCCGCCGCGTTGTTTTCTCTGAGATAAGTGAAAATTTACTGCGTTAGAAACATTTTTCGTGCCTCTGCAGTGCGAAAAATCCGCGCGCGTCCTCCCTCTCAACGCTGCCGAAAACGGGGGAGGATTAGTAGCCGCGGGACATTTTGTGGAGGTCGTCTATCTGATCATCCTCAAAAACGGATCTCTCCACTATGGGGATGCGCGTCGTGAGGGGTGGTCAGTTCTGTGCGAACGAGTTCTGTGCGCGAAAGGGGGTAGGGCAACGGTTTGTGCAACGTGTGTGATTACGTTGGCAATTACTCCCACCCTCGCGACTCAGATCGAGGTGGCC